TATATAGATAGATAGATAAATAGATAAACATGGTAGGTTACTTGCATTGACTTGCATTGTGAGGTTCACTTTAGGCCACGCATGCATGTAGGGGTGTCAACCGACCATGTCTGGGTTGGATTGGGTTGTACCCCCATTCAAAATCAAAATCAATTTGAATGTTTTGGGTGGACCACAAAGACATTGAATTGAATATGTTCAGATTTAATGGTCCAAAGCATTCATTGCATTGGATTGGACATAGTCCATCTAAAATGGATTTATATTAGGTTGGGTCAGATTAATCAAAATCAGGTCCATTGACAAAAGATAAAAGTACAGGTGTCAATGGAACAAGTTTACGTTAAATCCAATCTAAATTGAAATAAATTTAATTAGATTGGATGGTCCGAACATTGAATTGGATCTATAATGGTCCGAAGTATTCATTGGATTATATTGGACCTTCTCCGTATGAAATAGACTCATATCGGAGCATGTTGGGTTGGACCAATACCAATCTATTGACAGCCCTACACACACGTGTCAAGATTGGAGAATAAGGTTTTCCAAGGCCAAAAGTGGAAATGAGGCCTTTGGACTTTGAAACACCTGGTAAATTTTTTAAACTATCCTCATTGTTCAACTAATTGATTAAGTGTACCTTTACTGTTTGAAAATTGATTAATCCTATCTCTACTGTTTCTGACAATTGATTAATCCTTTTTAGTCATTAACGTCTATCAACAACGGAGATACGAAAAATACTATTTTACCCTCTTATTTGGATCTCTCCATCTTCCTCTCATTCTCTTCGCCAGAACTACCAGAACTGCAGGTGATCCCGAAAACCTCCAGCAAATTACTGACGGCTCCTCAGAGCAAAGTCTTTGTTTCAGACACCGCTGCTACATGCCTTTGTTTCAGACACCGTCGCTGCAAGCCTTTGTTTCAGACACCGCCACTGCAAGTGGTACTTCTCTCTCCCACCACCTCTCTTTCCCTCTCATCTCCCTATCTTTCATTCTTTCTTCCCTCTCTTTCTCTCTCCTCCTCTTTCACTTCCTTGTTTCACCACCGTCGCTACAACTTGTAGCGGCGGATTTGGTACTTCTCTCTCTCGCCACCTCTCGTCTCCTTATCTCTCATTCTCTCTCTCTTCTTGCTATTTCTCTCTCTTTCCCTCTCTCTCCTCTTTCACTTCCTCTGTTTCACCACCCCCACTGCAACTTGCAGCGACAGATTTGGTATTCTCTCGCCACCTCTCATCTCCCTACCTCTCATTCTCTCTCTTCTCGCTATTTCTCTCTCCTTCTCTCTTCTTTCTCTCTCCCCTCCACTTTCACTATCTCTGTTCCGCCACCGCTGCTGCAACTTGCAGCGGCGGATTAGGTACTCTCTCGTCACCTCTCGTTTCCCTATCTCTCATTCTCTCTCTCTTCTCGCTATTACTCTCTCCTTCTCTCTTCTTTATCTCTCCCCTCTTCTTTCACTATCTCTGTTCCGCCACCGTCCTGCAACTTGCAGCGGCAGATTTAGTACAGGTTTGTCATCTGGGTTTTGAAGATGGACACCCAGAAAAGCAGGTTTTCTTCTGCAAGCTGTAGTGTTGTTGATGGCCATTGCAGATTCGTAGTTGCTAGTGTCTAGTAGACTCAGCAGTAATCTACGGAACTCCTTCTCGGTTTCCGATCCTAGGCCTAACCGCCAGTTATGGATTTGCGTGTGGGCTTCTAATGAACCAGATAGAGAGGGTGTTTTGGAATGGAGGTGGGAAGGATGTTTTTGGAATCTTTTATCAATATATTAGTCACATGATGTTATATGTAACGGAAAGTTAACGGTAAGGGTAGACTTAATCAATTGTCAGAAAAAGTAGGGATAGTATTAGTCAACTTTTTAAATAGTAAGAGTACACTTAGCCAATAAACTAAATCATAAGGGTAGTTTAAGAAGTTTACCCTATAATAAACCTAAGAAAATCAGGATTATGAAACGTGAATATATTATATTGATCACACATAACAACAAATAGCAGCAATTGTCACATATACATACATGCACTTATATACAAAATCACACCACCATTTGAATTAGGTAGAAATTATTATTATTATTATTATTATTATTAATGATAAATGATGTATTATTCTACGACGACAAACTTTTCGACAATGAGACCAACCAATGAATGGGTCCTAATACGGAGATTGAAATATAGCCTTTTCTTTTCGGTAAGGTTTTAAAAACTGACTTGGAAATGGAACCATTCTAGCCATCGGTTTCCCGGTCAGTGGTTCAACCATTTGGGTCAAATGGTTTGAACGGTTTGAATATTTTAACAATGATATGTCATCTTACCCATTAGATTGGAATATTAGGATAAGATGCATATAAATATAAGAGAAAATAAAGATGGAATGAGAAGTATTTGAGAAGTTGTTGGCTGAAAGAGTTTAAAAGAAGAAGAAGAAGAAGAAGAAGGAAGAGGAGGAGGGCTTGAAGGTTGCAGTGGCAACGATGGTGGCAACTTACAGCGGCGACGGCAATGGTAGCAATAGCGGCAGAGATGGTGAAAAACTGGAGTAGATCTGAGATTTCTCAGTCTTAGATCTCTCTCTCTCTCTCTCTCGCGGATCTGTCATCTAGAGTCTAAACTTCTCTCTGAGATCTCTAAATGTGAGATCTCTCTCACTGTCTCACACATCTCTCTTAGTAAATCTCAGATCTAAGAGATCTTTTTCCCTTTTCATTTTGTTGTGACAAGTTAATAAACCGCAACCGTTCTTTGGGTCGAACGGATCAACGGTCAAACCATCCAGGTCAATGGTTCGTTGACTAATTCAACAGTTTTTTACTAGAGACTGGGTTGGGGGTAAAACGGAACCAATCACCTGAACGGTTTCTAGTCCGAACGATCTGACCGTCTGAATCAACAACAGTTCGAAAACAATGCTTTTGGGTATTAAAGCCTAGATGGTCAAAATTCAACATATGAAACAGTAGATTGCTCTCTAATGACTACATTTGGATAAAAAAAAAATTAGTTTAATTTTAGAGAATGATAGATAATCACCTGATGTAATACTGTTTCATCAGGTGCAATGAATCTTTTTAGCACTTGTTTCTCAAAAAAAAAAAAAAAAAGAGTTGGGGCTCCATCTAATTTTCAGTTTCTTGAACACCAAGAAACAAAAGAAAGAAAGGAAGACAAGGCCGATAACACTGGTGGGCATGCAGTAGGGGTGATCATGGGCCGGGCCCTCGATAGAATCTACGTATGCAAAATGCCAAATAGAATGGTCATATAACTCTATTCATGTCTATTTATAACACCCTACTATCTCCCTGTACATAACATTATATAGCAGGATGAGATGTTCTCCGTACAAGGCTGCGATGATATATGGATAGACGTGGACATAATTATTTTGAGCAGGAGATCCAGACTCCATTTAAAAGGGGGAGAGTGGCGTCAGAGACTGAAGAAAATGTTAGAAACCCACAACTTGTCTTCACAAATTCATAACCGCAAGTCAAACCCACAACGGTGCTGTGGCTATAGACTCATCGTTACACCTACTTTACCACGTTTTCCTGATTGACATCCTCTTTTATATTATTAATATTTTTCGCTTAAAAAGGAGAAGAATGATGTAAGGCCCCGTTTGTTTCATGGGAATAGGGGTCTGGAATCGAAATCGGAATGAGTTATTTCAATTCCATCTGTTTGGTTGGACGAAATTAGAATCCCATTGTCATTCTTGTTGGAATAACATTCTCCTATTTAAGGGAATGATCATTCCCTATCCCTTTCTTAGAATAAAATCCCATTCCTACTAATTTTAATTTTCCATTTCCATTCATGTTTAAACCAAACAGGAATATGAAAATAAATCATTCGGATTCCAATTTTAAAAAATTTCGATTCCAATTCCAATTCCAACTGATAACCATTTATTTTTTATTCTTACTAAAAGAATACTTGTTAATTAAGAATCGAGATACTTTGCATATACATGCCATGCAATAAACTGAAACATTTATTTCTAGGGTGGTTGCACTTAGGTCCCTGAACTTTGCTTTGTGATTAAAAAAAAAAAATCCTTCAACTACTGGATTTCAAGACTTTGCCCCCTATTCCAAAAGTAAAAATATTAAATTGCCCATTCAGGAATCAAATGGACTGAGAAAAAAGCTATGAAAATAAGAAAATAGACATATTAATGAACAATAGTACTTCTTTTGGATTGGGTTACTTTGCTCCGAAATCCTCGCTCTTTAATCTTTACCAATACCAGCACATATCAACAAAATAGGGGGCATGGTGCTAAAGAAATCCGTACCCGTAAGGCGTAAGCCCCAATTAATATAATAGTTAATTAAAGAAATAAGAAGGGTAATAATTTCTTCTGGCAAAAAAAAAATTAGCAGTTCTATTAATATGTTCAAATTCTACCCAGTGCTGTGAGGCTGGATTGGGCCTTGGGTTTCTCTGTCCGACTGTCCGTCCAACAGCAACCATGGCCCACAGTTGCATTCCACGAAATTGCTATTATGATATGATGTGACACCAGCTTGGCCTTTGCTGGAAAAAATAAAAAACAACACGCCATCATATATCATCATCATCATTCAAGTTCAACCGTTCAAGTGGAGTGGAGGTTGTCAAATTGGGCGCCACTCCACAACAGATATTCTAGTTGTGTGTTGTTGGAGCTTGGAGGGAGGAGCATCTGCATTTGCCCGTTCATCAGTCCATCGCTACTCTCCAATCCAATCTACAATCTTTGCCGCTCGTGGCCATTACAAATCTCTGATGGTCCACAGTCAACAGTCCAAACACGATAGCCTACCATGTAACTAAACTTACCCAATTCTTACCCTTTTCAAATGGGCGAACATGAGATCTAAGCCTATAAAGCCCAGGCCCAGGCCCAGGCCCAGGCTAGTATTGTAATTTCGTCTTATGGGAGGAGGAGGACCACTCAAATGCGGAATGCCAATAAAATCCTGAGTTCCTGACAACGGCATAACAGCGAGATACCATTGGAAGGAAGCCCAAGGTTATATCGCTCAAGTCTCAACTTTCAACTTTCAACTCTCAACTCTCGACTACTTCTCTGCTTCTGCTTTTCGGTAAAGAAAGAAGAAAGGAAGAAAGAAAACTACTTCTCTGAGTCTGTGCTGCACATTGGAGAGCTAGAATAGCATGAGTTACCAGAGGGTTCCCCAAGAGCCTTACCCTCCACCAGGTGAACCGCATATTCCTTCTTTTATATCATATCTTTTCCTCTATTAAGCTTACTAGATGATAAATGGAGTCTTTTTTTGTCTGTTGGTTACCTTCTTTTTTCTTTGGTTTTGAAATTTTATTCAGTTTGTTTTGCGGTTTCTTTTGTAGAATTGGAAATTTGGAATTGAACCCTTGGTGTTTCAGTTCTTTTTTGACCTTTTTTTCTTGTTCAGGGTACGCACCTTCGCCACCAAACTACCCTTCACCGCCACCACCACCACCACCTCCACCCTATGAAGGGTACCCACCACCACCTCCACCAGGGTATCCACCACCACCTCCACCAGGATACCCTCCACCCCCTCGTCCTGGATATCAGGACTACTTCAATGGAGGGTACCCTCCACCACCGCCACCCCAACAATACCAATCTCAGGATGATCATTCTGGGTGTGCCTCATTTCTACAAGGCTGGTATGCGATCTCAATCTCTGTCCTTTTGGGTTCTTTCTCTCCTTTGCTCCAAATCATTCGTTTTAATGTTTTAAGAACATTTGGTGCATATGTTTGTTGTTTTTCTTATTAGGGATTATGTATTTGATTGTGTTCAGTGAATTCTGTAAATTGGTAAATGAGTGGATTCTAATCCTTTAATGGATTCGATTTTGACAATTATGTTTTATGAGGATTTTTTCTAACTCTAATTTTTTGCTGGTTCTCCTACGCCCTTTTCTTAGTTATATGGGACTTTTTTTACTCTTATGTTGCAGTAGCCTGTTCCGTTCTGCTATCTTGCTCTTATTCTTTCTGTTGTATTGTTGGCAAGATTTTGGTAGGTTTGATCGTCCTGGAACTGCATAATTTCTATGTACTGGACTGCATTTCAGACCTGATGTTTTCCCCTTATTGAGGTCGAATAGGATAATGCCATTTATAAGCAGGGGCCCTAAGTCACGTGGCATATACACCAATGGGATATATCAACATTTTATATTCGTCTTTTATCAAAAAAACCAAAAAAAAAAAAAAAAACAAGAAGAACCTGTAGTTCACATTGAAGTTACTGAATTCACTATTAGTCAACCTCATGAAACCAAAATATTAGATGCAAAACCATAGCAAACATAGATGGATAGAATCCAGAATCAACACCAGTGAAGTGATTCAAATAACTACTTGAGATACAGAGTGCAGATAGCATATGAAATTTCATAGGACATCTGCATATTTACACCTACCAGGTTATGTTGGTTGTTAAATATGGTTACTACCGGTTGATATTGTTTCTTTGAAAAGATTTACAAGCTGCTCGTTACTGTTGTTACCATTGTACATTTAGATAACCCAGAGAATATTACTACAATTGTCCAAAAGCTCATTAGCTCCCTTTACTTCTCTATTTATTTTTCCAAAGAGGGAAATATGTTGCTTGTTTTCTGGTCAGAGGGTATCACAAGCTCCAATTTCCTAAAAGCAAATTACAACATTGCCATTTGCCAAACTCTGTATTCTTACCATGGGCATCCATTATCATGTTACTGCCATATTTTTCTACTTCTCTGAAATGTTTATATTCCCAGTCTGGTATGACAGGAGGGCTTTATCGCTTATATTCTTCTAATTCTTTATTATGTCGTGTACTGTCTTGGGAATATAATTCTTTAGTTGTGTACTATTGTTGAAACCATAAATTCCGGTAATTGGTTCACTTTCTCTTTATTATGCAAATATTACAGATTAGGGTTCTTCTGGAAGACTGAAATAATAATTGTGAACTCCAAACTGTATTTCTTAACATGTTTTCCCATATTAATTGCCTTGTTAACCTCCTATATTTCATGAGGTTTTTAGTTAACTTGAAAGCTATTTGGAAGTGAGTTATAAGGTTCTTTACTTTCTTTTTTTTTCCTTTTCCTTTTTTTTTCTTAGCTAAATCTGTAGAAATTTCTTTTTCTCTATTTCTTAAAATAAACAAAAGTTGTGCCATCTTTGGTGTCAATTATATATGAGTACAAATGTGGTTTATGAATCTGGAATCTTTTCCTAGGAGAATGTTATGGACGCATTCCTCGGGAAGACGTATCGTCGCCACCGGTAGCAACAGGCACCTGACCCACCGCCAGCAGCAACAGTGATTCAATGATTCTCTTCCTACCCAGTTCGGCAACAACAGCCTTATCTAGATTAGATTAGATCATCTTGTTTGTTCTTATTTTATTGTTCTTATCTTATTCTATTGCTCTTATCTTATCTTGTTAGTAGCTTATCAGATTAGGATTAGCTTATCTTATCCTTAGCAAGATAGAACTGGAAGTCTCCCTATTCAACAAGGAGACTCCCTTTGATTAGGACTCTTGTAATCTCCTATTTAAGGAGACCCCATTATTGAATGAGGGTATCGAATATTCAGTTAAGGAAGTGAGTTAGGAGAGTTGGTGATCTCTTGAACAAATCACCAGAGGCGCCAAGATAGGTTCATCAAGAGCAGGAAGGAACAAGGGAAAACATGAGGTTTTCCCCGTGGACCGACCCGTGACGAGATCCTATTCCCGGGCCCATAACAACTTGGTATCAGAGCCAACCGTCATGAGAGATCTGGAGCAACTATCATCCAGGGTCCACGAACTGGAGCATAGGCTCGTGGAAACCAACGTGGAGGTTCGTGAGGTCAAAGGCGATGTCCAGGAGATGCGACGCTTGCTGGAATCGTATTTCTCTAACAAGAAGAGGAATCCAGAAGGGGCTGTAACCACAAACAGCCGCCGACCAGACTTGACGGAGTCGTCCGGCGAACAACAGCTCGTCGCCCCGGTAGCCGCAGTCATCCCCAAGTACAGTAGGCTGGAATTCCCGTCGTACAACGGCAACGGAGACCCCTTAGGCTAGCTGTATCGCTGCGAGCAGTTTTTTTGGAATCGACGGACAGATGACCGGGATAAGGTAAATCGTTCTATATTGCTAGAAGAGGATCGTGTTAAAGCAGAAATAGAACATGCTAAGGCACCAGTAGATTTCACTACATTGCAGCTCCACAATTTGATGTATGAGAAAATTCAATTTGTGAAAGCCATAAAGGTGCGCAAAGATTTCAAGTCAAAGTATCCGGATATTGAACTTGTGCCTGAGGAAGAGTTTTTCAGTTCAGCCCCTCAAGATATTAAAGGA